CCCACTTTGGCTAATTCCTTAATTGTGCCTGTGGTTTCTTCGTGGCCTCCTGGGAGGGAATATTGTTTAATTGCCATTACCCTCTGTGAGACAGGTAGTATTACAAGTGTCCATTTTGCATCTCCTCTTGTTTGTTTGACCAAGCACACCCTCAATTTGAATTCCCCTGCAGTAGTTTGTAATGTTAGTCCTGAGAGGACATCCATTCCTAGAATGTATTTGGGTATTGGGGCTGTATACACCGAATAGGGTTTTGGTGGGCGTTAATCCTGTCTGCAGTTAGTACAACCTACTTCATTTGGACGACACCAGCCCCCTACCCATCGATGGCAGAGATGGGCCCTTGAAAGTGGTTGTTTCCATAAAGGAGAGTAAATTTGGCACCAGTATCAACCAGAGCTAAAACGGTCTGTTTGTTTCTTTTAGACCAATATATGGTGAGTTTTACCTGTGGCCTCTGGTCCCCGTACACCCTGATGGCAGCAGTCGAACCGCAATCCATGTCCTTTGCCTCTTTCCTAGTTCATAGAGAAGAGGCCTGCCATCCTCCCTCTGAGGGTGCCCTTGGCTATATCTGTACCCCCTTTGCTGTTCAGGATTAAATTTCTGCCAGAGCCTGACACGGACTTCATTGAATTATTTGTCTGCTTTCTTAAAGGGGGTCCCCACTGCCCTGAGGTCTCACTACATCTGGCAACAGGTAACATGCATAGGCCCCTTCTTTGTTTCTTCTCCTGTGAGTCCTTTGCCTTCATTCCTGCCTTTTGGATACCTCTTTTCTGATCTTTTCTGTTTCCCCTTGACCTGTGGCAGCTTGCCCAACCCACGATACAGGCTGTCCCATTAGGGGTTCAAGATGGACACAAGTGCCCTCTACCAGTGACTGGGGGCAGACTCTAACACATATCTTTAATATCCATGGCAAACTGTTAATTATCAGGATCTCTGTGGTGTTCAGCATAGACAGCGTGTTTCATCCCCAGCTCTTGTAGGATATGCTGGAGCTCTTCCATATTTTGCCATTGTAAAGGGGAGGTCAGTACACAACACCCCC